CCCACACACACAACCAAACACACACACCAACACACAGTTCTTTAAAAGCCCCCTGGTGGACATCACAGTTGGAACTTGTTCTAGACACAGTCGACTCGCTTGATTATTGACTGGAATTACAACAGGTGCGGTAAATTACCCCTCATATGATCCAGTTGTTTCTTAGGGTTGTAGATGTTTTTTTTATATATATATTTTGATATGTTTGATGTATTCATTAGGTATTTGTAATACAACCTTTTGGATGGTAATATGTTGCCTTGGATTCGGAGTTTTTGTTTCCGCTGGAGGCCAAATGACAACAATATCTAATTAGAGCGCATTATCCACGTCAGAAGTTAAACCTCCGTGGTTAGGCAAGTTATTACTTCATTTTCAGAAATAGACGTAATTGCGTAAATGTTAATTACCTACACGTTGGTTATTGAAGAACGAGATGTGGGAGTAGGGGTGTTCATGGTTCGGTTTGGATTGGTTTTTCCTTAAAAAGAAATCAAACCAAGTAAGTCGGTTTTTCAAATATTAGAATCAAACCAAATCAATTAAGTCGGTTTTTTCTTGATTCGGTTTATGTCGGTTTTTTCGGTTATTTATCGGTTTTTTCTTAAATATAAGACATACACTAACAAACATATATTTTGGAGACCACATTTTCAACGTAACACTATCAAATCAATTGCCCTTTGAGAAATCTATTATTTACCAAGATATATTGATGATAATTGAATCAAATAGTGATGAATAATTTAAGGACTCAATTAAAAATATATTATTTTTAATACGAAATGGATTCTTACACTTAACAAAAGAAAACTACCAATCAAACTAGAATGTAAAGATAAAGAACTATATAAAAGTGCAAACTATTAACATTTACCATTAAATTTTGAAACTTTGTATAAAAATAAATATATATATATAGATGTAATAATAAATTTGAAATAGCTACTTCTATAGTCGGTTTGGTTCGGTTTTTTTCCGATTTTTTTCTAATTAAAATCAAAACCAAATCAAATTTAATTGGTTTTTTAAAATTCAAAATCAAAATCAAACCAAACCAAAAAGTATCGGTTTTTTTGGTCGGTTTGGTTTGGTTTTCGATTTTTTATGAACACCCCTATGTGGGAGTATTCAACAACTGAAAATCATAGTATTTCGTTAATGATATTTAAATTACGATCTCCTTAAGCTTGGCTGATAATAATTTAGAAAATGATGCAAACTAAATCTGTCTTAGCTAGTGTCTTTTGAAGTTATATTTCGATATATATTTTATTTGAAAGCAAATTGAATTTTTGTGAGTGGAAGGAAAGTTTCGACCAAAAATTGATTTAGACGAGTTTATGGGAATTTGATTTTTTTTCTCTCCAAAATCTGATCAAATTTTATGAATAAATAATATTTTCATTTTTTTTTTGTTGAAAAAAAGTAGTTAAAATTTATGGCCAAATGGGTGCTTAATGTGTCTGTTGTACATGCTCTTCTTACTTGCGGAAAAGAATAAAAATTTAACGGCGTGCTATTTGGGCACAATTATTTAACCTATATCCAATTTTTTTGGAAATTATTTGACGTGTACCCAATATTAAGGCCCCGTTTGGATTGGCTTAAAAAAATTGACTTTTAAGTTAAGTGCTTAAAAATACTTTATAAGTGCTGAAGTTTGTTATATAAATAAGTAGTTATGTGTTTGGATAAAAGTGCTGAAACTGAAAAAAAAACTAATGAAATGTTTGGTAAAGAAGTATTGGTAAACACTTTTCTTGTTAAAATGATTGAAATATCTTTAAAGTTGTTAATATTATAAATAACATAATTACTATAATATTATATTTTTCGTTCATATCTTTTAATTCATCAGTCCCTTTCTTGAGTTGAAAAATAACAATCCCAAAAAAAGATAAAAGAAAAAGTTGGCAAGAATGGAGAAAAGAATGGAGTAGAAGGCTGAAAAATTGATGGGTGCATAAAGAATGAAATGAAAGGAACAGAAAAAGTGAGGAAAGAGGTGGAAGAAGACGAAGAAGAAAGCAGAGTACGTTGGAGAAAAGAATGGAGAAGAAGGCTGCTGCAACAAGAATGGAGTAAAGAAAAAGATAGTATGTTGTAGGATTTTCTACTCACTGTAATTTCGGGATTAAGAAAAATTATAAAAAATAAAAATATTGTTATGATAAATATCACATTATGGTGAATGTCTACTCTTCTTCTATGATCTTCATCTCAAATGCTTAATGACATATTCAATGACATATTTTGTATGTTTAATGACATATTCCATGACATATTTTCTTCACTTTTTATGCCTATATAAAGGCCTTGTAATAGATAGGAAAAGATACACAATTGAAGAAGAAATAGGAATCTCTCTTCCTCTCTTTCTATCTATATCTCTTAGTTTGTTCTGCTTGTTCTATATTGTTATTTTGGGTTATATTTTATAACACGTTATCAGCACGAGGCTCTACCATCTAAAGAAGATCTTTGAGAAAATTAAGGTATAATTTTTCTCAAATTTGTATTTTTTTTAAATGTCTGATATTATGAAAAGAAAGTTCGTTGCCCTTGAAATTTCGGGCAAGAACTATATGACATGGGTATTGGATGCTGAAATCCATTTAGATGCAATGGGTCTTGGAGACGCCATTAAAGATAAAGATAAAGCATCTACACAAGACTGTGCTAAAGCCTTGATTTTCTTGCGCCATCACCTTGATGAAGGGTTGAAAATTGAATATCTCACAGTGAAAGATCCAAATTTATTGTGGAATGGTTTAAAGGAAAGATATGACAACTTAAAGTTGGTCACTCTTCCACAAGTACGATATGATTGGGCTCATCTTAGGCTCCAAGACTTTAAGTCTGTTTCTGAATATAATTCTGCTATGTTTAAAATTACTTCCAAATTGAAACTCTGTGGAGGTAATATCAGTAACTATGATATGCTTGAAAAAACGTTTACAACGTTTCATGCTTCTAATATGGTCTTACAACAGCAGTACCGAGAGAAAGGCTTCACAAAGTACTCTCAGTTGATTTCTCTTCTACTTGTGACTGAACGAAACAATGAA